AGGGAACAGATGAACACGGTTTGATGACTTTGAAAAGACACGGAATGCAGCTGGACATCTACCCACAGAAGACAGGGAGCCACAAGCTGGAGATCTTTGCCAAGCCCTCCAAGGCTGAGGCTTCGGATGACGTCTACAAGTGCGTGCTGGAGTACGTGGTGGAGTGCGAGTCCGTGGACAAGGCCATGCGCTTCCCCAAGGAGCTGCACCAGCCCGTCGGGCCCAGCTGGTTCTCAGAGCGCCAGGGCTTCCTGCGGCCCTCGCACAGCGAGCCCATCCTGCACACCAACGACGGGCGCTGCTCCCTCACCTTCACCCTGAGCAAGGACATCAGCGTCCTGACCTCGCTGCACACCGACGGCAGCGGCAGCCTCGCGGAGGACATGGGCAGGCGGCACGTGCTGCAGATCCACCGCAGGAACCAGATCGAGCTGAAGGTCCAGCTCCCGCACGCAGGGAACTTCGTTCTCAAAATCTACTCCAAGAAGAAGTCGGACCCTGGTAATTACGATTACATCTTCAACTACCTCATCAGGTGCCTGAACACGGAGGTGAAGTGGCCAGCCTTCCCCCAGAGCTACAGCAAGTGGCTGCAAGACTACGAGATCCTGGAGCCGCTCTCGGGCCTGCTGCCGGCCAACCGCAACGTGCAGTTCAAACTCAAAATGCACGGCATTGCCAAGGTGCTGGTCCAGGCTGAGAACACCTACCCTCTCACCCAGAACAAGGGCTGCTGGGAGGGAACCTGCAACACTTCGGGGTGCAGAGAGGTGTTTGTGATGGTGCACGAGAACGCCAACCACAGCTTCTACTCGCACGTCCTCAAATACGAAGTTGAGACCCAGTAACACCCACTCCTTGTTATTTCACTCACCTGCATGAACCAACCTCCCCAACACACCCCAAACCAGCAGAACTTTAGGAGATTGCTCATTCTCTCAACCAAATCTGTTCTTTCAACAAATGCAGGACAACACTTGCAGGCTTTTGCAAGACTGCAGGCTCAAAGATGGTCAAGGAAGGAGAAAATCCTGTTAAAAAAAGGAGCAGCAGTGGAAGACATGAGATAAAACCTACATTTCCTACATTTCAGTAACACTGTCTAGACAAATATTTAGAAGAAAACAACTGTCTGCAGGGCATTCTGTGCCAGCAGGGATTGCTGGTTTCCAAGTTACGGACCATGAGAAAAGTCTTACGAGTGCTGCTCCAAGAATTCACCTAGTTGTGGGGCAGGATGAAGAAAGTGTAGCCTGGTTTTGAGCAGCAACATTGGACATGAGGAACTTCAGGATACTTAAACGAACTTTCATTATAGCTGTAGTCAAGTTGCAAAATACATTCGAGGAGAGAGAAGAGTTAGGAAGAAGATACAACATGAAGTTTCCTTGTGCACTTCACTGTCTTACAGATTTCAATAATACTGGAAAAAATTTTTTTACACTGATTCTTAAATACAATAAACAAAATCATTTTTACCTTTTTATATTAGAGTATTGTAGAGACTTTTTCTGCTGTAATTATATCTGAAGCGTATGGGTGTTTCCATAAGGAAAACTACAGTAAAAATGAGAATAAAGTTCTCAGAAATCACTCCTTCCTCCAACCTGTCTATGCAATACTGCAGCTATAAACTGACGGGGTTACATGGGACAGCAGGCTGAGTGACATTATTATCATGTAACAAACCATTTGGTGCTGTACTCTTGGAAAACGCCTCCATGCACAAGGCAAAGAGGGGCTTCTACTGAATCCCACCACAACTGCACATCCTGAGATGGAGCAACATTTTCCTGACTGATTCAGATGCCTGTGAGCGTTAGCATAACCCAAGAGGTATTATGTTTGAGCTTGAATTGAAAATAAACCTGTTATGTTTTTGCACTCTGTTTCATTGACCAAACAGTATGAATTCTCTTCCCAAAGCTGCTGTATTTTCCACACAAAAGAGGTGGGTTATTCCTACATTCCCTCCTCAGTGACTGGGTGGCAGGAATTACTCACAGGGCTGCCCACCCTACATTACTCCTTTGACCCCAGCATCCAGGGCTGAGTTCCCATTTAAGCAGGTTAAGTACCTGCAGCCAGATTCCAGGATCAGCACTCTGTGAGGATGCAGGCTGCTGCAGACAGGAGCTGCAAGCATAAACACCACATGTAAGCTAACAGGGCTTACTCCAGGGTAAGCTGGGAGCACAGCAAAGCTTCGGGGTCTTTTTGTACTTGGCGACAACAGGCTCCATATGCAACACAAAAGTAGGTTTTAAGTCCTCCCCTAAACAGCTCAGTGTGTTTGCCCTCAAAAACTGGTGGCAGCAGCTCCTCCCTGCAGGAACACTCACAATCCGTGGAGCCCAGCAGGCTCCCACTCCCTGGGCATCAGCACAGACTGAGCAGCACAGATGCAAGGCAGACTCGGGGATCTTTTGTTTGCCTAAGGACCTTGAAGGCTAAAGCAAGTATTGTCTGTCAGCACAGACAGTCCTGGTTTATTTTGGTGACTGGCAGAAGGGCTCTTTTTTCTCAGATCCCACTTTTCAGATCAAGGAGGATACACTGCAGCAGCTTTCATTTCACAGGTCAAGCTGATCCAGTCAAGTACGTCACTTCTTACAATGGCAGGATAAGGAAGCATCCCAGAGAGCTTAGTGACTAAAGAAAACAACTTCTTCCACCAAACAGGGTCAAGGATACCAAAGTACAGACACACTTCATGGAACCACACATTTGATGTTCACAAATAGGCACAAGCACACAAACAGACACTTTGGTAAAGCCTCTCTGCAGGTGACACTGCTATGAACATGATCCCTGCTCCTTGTCTCACTTCCACAAGCCCTCTTTCTAAGCTCTATTTCTGTCTCAAGATGGCAGGGGGAACAAAAACTGACCCAGAAGAGCAGAGAGGACAGTTTATTTTCCCCTGCTGAGCACAACCTCGGGGAGTATTCCCTGTTCCTGCAACCCAAGTCTGCAGGCACCTGCAATTCCACACATCTACAGAGTCCCAGATTCTTTAAGATTCTTTAAGTAAAGAGTGACACCCAAGCGTTGTCAGAGCCACAGCAGAACATCTGTAACACACTAAAGACAGATGAAGCCTGCACAGCTTCCCACTGTACAGATGTACAAAAGGAAGTGCTGCAAATACAGTTCCACACTTTTGTCTCAATCAGAAAACAAACATTTGCTCTGCCCTGTGAGTGTGCAAGAAATTCTTTAGTGCTATTGAAGGCATAAGTTCAAAGACATAAACCCCCTCTTCAGCTTCATTAATTATAAAGTTTCCAGGGCCAGGTGATTATTCCAATGGAGGTTTGACACTGCAAAGGCAGAGAATTCCTGAGAAACCCTGCAGCCCCAGATAAAAGCACCTCAGAAGTCTGCACTTGCTGTGACATCTCCCTTCCAGGATAAACACAGCTCCTTCTCCTCCTCCTCATAAAAAATGCACATTCTTCAGTGCAGCCAAGGCTCCAACACCAGGAGAACAGTTCTGGAACAGATTTCTCAGTTCTCTCAGGGCATCTGCAATGAGAGAAAGGGGGAAAGACAAAGCACACACACACCAACACAGGGAAGTAATTCAGCAGTTCCCCTGCTGCAGATGCTACTTTAGATTACATTAGTTCAAATTTTTAGATGAATGAAGCTGGTGAATTAATTTTCCCTGAACGAAGCAGCTTATTACAGGTATTAGAAATTGATAAAACTGTAGGATTATAGCTGCTAATTAAGCAAATGGATCATCTTCAGTTTTGCTCTTCCCTTCTGCCAACATGAACTGCCAAATATCTCTGAAGGGATATGGAAGAGCACATCACAAACAAGGCAAAATGTCTCCTGAACTGCTGAAAACACCAACAGCATGATGCAACACCCAGTAACTAATTTGACAAATCACCAGGAAATACAATACTACTTGCAAAGTATCATTTAAAAATTAAATTGGTGGCCTCACTGAAGGCTGTGAGGGATCCCTAAGGGTTCTGGCATATCACACACTCAGTGCATCTATAGGCTTATGTGCAAAGAGGAAATAGTTTGGTGTATTCAGCTGTTCAAATTTTATCAAAATGCCCCATGTCCAACAAGTCCTTACTTGAGATCTGGACAGACAGGGAGGATGCTCCAAAAACATCCATGGACAGCTCTGCAGGGGATCCAAGGCCAGTGCTGGATGACCACAGTCATTACCAAGGCTGCACAATGAGAATCCAGAAAGGATTTGAAGGTTTTATCCTCGTGCAAGGAACTCCACAAGAAAGTTAAAACACAATCACTTTTGGATTGGAACATTTCTAAACTCTGGGATGCAGAGATGCATGCCCAAGTGCAGCCCCAGTGTGCAGCCAGGCATGCCCCTGGCTGAACTCACCTGTCTGACACAATGGTTGGGCTCTGTGTACATGTGGTGCTTTTGAATTCCTGTTCCTTGACAGCATTAAGCTGCTCTAACACAAGGTGAAGCTGATGGAAAGGAACAGGAAACTTATGGACATGGAATAGTCTCATTCCAAGGTTTGCCTGCACAAAGACCATAAAGACACAGCTACAGGAGAATTGCAGAGACCCCAAAAGAAAATAAGTCCATAGGAAATAAGTCCTGTGCACTCGCTAACAACTTACTTCCCTCAAAGAAAGATTGAATATTTTCTCCAAAAGAGGTCACAGATTTATTTTGATGCAGCAGTTCCACTGGACTGTCCAGATTCAACCCAGGCTGGCACCAGCTCACATGGCAGCTGCAATGACATGTGGATGAACCTCACCGGCTTGTGGTAATCCCATCTAGTGTAATTTCTCATTCCTATTTCTCTTTTCCAAGAGCCACATCCAGAATTCAGCCACTCATTCCTCAGCTATTCTGCAGTACTTCAAGCACCTTGTACAGCAAGATAAAGACACCAGATACTATACAAATTGGAAAGGGCAGAAGCTACAAGAACCAGGAAATATTAAGAAATTCCACTAAGGGCAAATTAACTGGAAAAAATACAGATAGCCTAAAGGAAAGAGGAATTTTATTCCCTGTTCCTTAAAGAACATAGCTATGCTGTGATGGAAAAGGTGTTGATCCAGGTTCCTGATGAGAAGGGAATATAAGCCACAAGAATCCCTTTGTGTATTTGTATAAACAAGAAAAGGGGTGTTGGCCATTCTGATTTATTTCAATGCTTTCACATGTATAAAATATACTTTCAATACATAAAAACTAGCAAATGGTTTGCTTTTAAAAAACACCATCAACTTTGTGAGTGAGCACATAGCTGAGATGCAGGTCTCTGGCAATGCCCATGGCAAGCTGACTAAAATGCTTGTGGTGTAACAGCCCTCATCAGAGCAAGCATGTAGACAGAAGCTCCTTCTCCTCAACTCCCATCCTGCTGATTCAGCTCCAAGTGGGACACACGGCCTCTCAATCAAGCTCCAATCCCAGCTGGATAGAGGCACCTTCCCAGTCACAGTTTGGAAGCACATAAGGAAACCAGCATTCCAATTCCACAAGGAACATTATTCCTGGTGTTCAAATCGTCTCACTATCTTTGCACTCTCTGTTTTCAGTTCCTCAATGTGAGCATTTAGGCACTCCAGGATGTGCTGGGATCTCACTTCTTCATCTTCCAGGTATCGTGCAGCAATGGATCCAACAGAAGCTGTAGGCAAGGGGCACTAAAGGGAAACAAAGGGATTATCAGGCATTCCTTCATTCCAAGTTTTGGCCAGAAACACCTCTGATCTGCAAACCGCACCACTGAAGCTGCTCCTAGAGGGCTCATTTCCATCTTAGTGGGCAGACTAAGCACTCAGGTCTCACACCTGTATCGCAGGTAATGTCCCTTCCAACAGCCAGCAGTGACTCCTGCACAAAGCCAACACTACCAAAAAATCAAGGCTAGAGAAGGTCACTACAGAATACCAAGGAGTTTGCCTGGGTGTTGGTGCAAATCAAGATTTACATCCTGCTCCTTGTCTCCACAAAAATCCCAGTGAGTGGGAGCACCTCAGAGTCTGGGTCCAGGGAGAGAAAGCACTGCCAGACTGGTTTTCTTTTACGACAAATTCCACACTGGGAATATCTCTGCTTTCTTTCATATACGTCCTCTTCTTCCCCAAAGTAACAGGCTCCTGGTACAATCCCAAAGGCAAGTACAGGCCAAACTCCCATTGCAGCTCACAGAACAGCACTTCAGTCCAGCCAGCAATGGTCAACAAAGTACTCCAGATTCTTTCCTTTACAGTCAACAACTATTCCTGCTCCTCACATCACTTACCCACAAGTTATTAACTTACAAAAACAACACTGTAAACCAGGCTTAATGTACAAGTTGATGAAGAGAAGCCTCATGCACAGGGGCTGGCACGTGAAATATTAAGGTTACTAAGGGGCTGCTTTCCATTACAGACAAGTTGTCTCAGTGTCTTGGCAAGAGAAAAGAACTGGTTACTTCCAAATCCTGGAGTCTCGTGGTTTTCAGGTCTTGTCAACAGCCAGGAACAAAGGGAAACAGAAAAGGCTGCAGACAACAAGCAAATCTCTCCCACCCCACTACTGCCTACTGATGAGAGTTCTCCTCTCTCACTGCTAAAGGATTTAAAGACACCGGAGCCTGACCCAGTCAACCAAGAGAAATATCTGCATTTCTTTAGAAACCTTATTTCTACCACTCAGAATAAAAAGCAGCCCATTCTCTTCTATTAAACATCAAGCCCTAATGCTTCTCAGACCCTGAAGTGGAACCTTTCACACTTTGGGTCCAATCTTGCAAGCTGAAGAGTTTCCATTTACAATACTGCAGAGTTCCCTAAGTTCCCAACACTGTTTTCTGGGTATGTGCACAAACTACTTTAGTTTTGAAAAATCAAGACCTATTCTTGGTAGTAAACTTGATCAAGACCTGACAAGCCTCCATTTATCTGTGCCTTAGCCTTTGAGCCTCTTCTCTGGACTCCTACAAAAAGATAGCTAACAGTTTAATAGTTGTCACTGCTACCAACACAAAAACAGAGGAGAAACTGCTCTGAACACTGCTGGAGCAACACACCTGGAACAAGGACTAGTGCTCAGCATTCTCCCTTCCCTAAACATGACAGGAAGAAGTGGTTCAGTGCAAATTTTCTGTATCTTGGTCAAGTGCTTCAGCAACTGAGCTGAGGTAGGACAGAGAAAGTGCTAACACTGCTCCTGATGAAAAAAGTATGATCAGCAACTGGGAAAAAGAGCAGGCTCCCCTTGTGCAGTGAAGCAGGGATTTTAGGCTTTGTCATCTGCAAGCATAAGCAGCTTTAAGTTCAGTGTGCTGACTGCTGCAGCCTGTTTGAAAAGGGGTAAAACTCACCCTGTGCTTTACAGATGTGCAGCAACCAGTCACCCAGAGACTGTGAAATACCAACATACTCAGCACTCCACATCCACTCTGAGCCTCTGCTACAGACCCAAGCCAAAAGCTGAAGCAGAATTCTGAGGGGACACGAGCAGGTCCTGGTACACAGTGAGGTCCAGCACCATGAGCTCCTGGAATTAACTTAGCAAGCACATAAACACAAAGCTCTTCTCCAAGGAGCTCTGAAGAGCCACCATATGGATCCTCCTGGCCAAGTCTCAACCATCCAGCAGTGGCTTTCCTTCCCTGTTTAATATTTGATTTACTTAGAGGATCACACACAACATGCAGTTAGGTCATGCATTCAAATGCCTGTCTCCTTTTGCCAGATAAGAACCCAGCTCTATTTTCAGCTGTTAAGCAGCAACTAGCTCCTGTACAACTGCTTACCAAAACCATAGATTCTCTGTGATGATTTAAGACAGGCTGCTTAGATGCTTCATCTGCAAAATCTTTGTTTTCAGGCACCACGTGAAGCACAGACTCCGCTGCCAGCCAGGCACGTGACTCCTTGCAGTTCTTGCTGCTGCTCTGGGAGGGTGGCTCACCCACCTCAGGGGTCACAGTTCCTGTTTCAGCAGCCCCACAACTTTGGGAGTCCCTGTGATGATGCTGAGCAGTCCTGTCAGGCTGGAGATGAGTCCTTCCTGTGTGTTCATCCTGCTCGTGCTGTGCTTCCTGAGCTGTCCTGGAAGGCAGGTTTGAGCACAGAACTGAGTTTGTCTCTTAGCAGCTCAACTCCAGCAAAAACTCACACAGAGGCAACAATTAACATAGATGTTACTAACAGCCCTGGCAATCTAAACTTGTTTCCATAGCAGTTCCAGACACACATTCAGTCCCTGTGGAATTCTCTCTCTCTTCTGCTACTGTAGATACCAAAAACCACTGCCTGCACATCCTAGCACAGCAACAGAAAGGAACGCAGCTGCCTGGGCCACATCTAATCCTGTCACCAAAAACAGCACAGACTGCTGCTCCAGAGAGAGGCAAAGGCAGACAAAAGACAAACACTGCTGGCTCTGCAGAACACAAACCAGCTGGGACTCAAAGCTACTGCACTGCTTAAGGCATAAAGGCGGATTCCCAAACAAACCTTGTGTTCTCCCAGACGCACGATGCACTGGAGACACCCAGCATGCCATTAAACCCCACACATCTCCTGCTCTCCTTCACCCCGAGGAAGCAGCATCCCTGGGGTCACTCACCTGTGCTGTACATCCCTGGGCTCTTTGCCTTGCCCCTGCTGACCCATGCCCTGAGGTTCACCTGGGCACACCTGTGCAGTGACCCCCAGTTTCGCCCTGGTCTCTACGAGGTCCTTCCGCAGCTGGTGGTTCTCAGATATTAATTTCTGCAGCTCAGCAGTGTAGTCCTCCCTGAGTGCTCTCAGGGTGCCATGGTCCCCCTAACAGGCAAAGAAGGGCAGAAGTCAGAAGTTCAGGTTTGCAAGACACCACAGTCACATCCAGAGCAAAGGTCAGCAAGAGATTCCTTATGGCATATCCCTTAACCTCATTTTGACTGGCAAAACCTTCAAGAATCTCCTAGGAGAAAATTAATTATATATATTGCCTTAATGGACCTGCATCCAGACTCACTGTGCTGATCTGCTGATATGCCTGGGATGGTCAGTCTCTCTCACCACTGGATTCCTTTTAAACAGGAAAACATGGATCTAGGATAGTTCAGACGTACCTCCCTCTGGCCTTTCTGAAACTCTGAACAACTTACTGCTTCCCATCATTTTCTTTTTACTAGGCCAAGTGGGTATAATTTCCATGGCTTCTACTCCCGTGACATTCCCACTTGCTTTTTGCCAATTCTATTAAACTCAAATGCTTAATTCATTCTCATTAGCTCTGTATCTAAGGTCTTCCCAAATGTGCATTAGGACTGCGAGGCCAAGATCCAGCTTCTGTTCCTTGGGGCTGTGGGGCCTTTTTTTAAGGAAGATTTCTTGCTTTACACACTGCTACCACACAGGCAAAAGCCACCAGGCACTTTTCAAACAGAAAGTAATGGGCCTTATGTTATTTCAGTTTCAAACCAGCCCTCTAGAAAGCTGTGTTTTTAATCCATCTCACCAGCCACAAGCTTCTGTTCAGCATTTTCCCAGTAACTTTGCGCATTTGACAATCATCCCAAACTAATACTAAGAGCTGAGTATTTCCTTCCCACAGATCTAACAGGATAAAACATACTCTCATGAGGTTCTCAGCTGTCTGCATCCAGCCCTTGCCCCCTGGGAAGCAGCCATTCTGCTTAAGATGAGACAGAACTTGCAAACCAGCCACTTCTTCCTTCACAAAATGAGTCAACTCGTTATTTCTGCCAAGGCTGCACCTCTGCCATGCAGGCTCCTCTTCTCCCCTCTGCCTCAAGGGTTTTGGAGGTTTTGTTCAGCTGCAGGAGCCCACCACAGGGCCGTTTCCAAGAACACTGCCCCAACACATCCAGCCCATATTTCCAGTCTGCATCCCTCATGGAGAGCAAAGGAGAGCCCTGCTTATTGGCTCCTCACCAGGGGAGAACACGCTCTCACCCCAAGCATTTCAAGGGCCAGAGCAGTTACAGCTCTAGGACAGGTCAAAAGGACATCACAGGTTGAGAATCAAAGGTTTGAGGTAAGCTGGCTTAAAATGGAAGTGTAATGAAATGTATTAAAAAAGTGAGGCAAAGCCCATGGAGAAGACATGGAAATTATGGCTGCTTCTGCAGTTCTCCACTATGTGACTGAACAAATGCTTGATATTTCTGTACCTTATTTCCTCTCAAATTGCCTCTTTTGCTTGGGTTTTAAGTTCACTCTGTCCCCCATTTTGAGAGGCCTGGGCAAAGACTCTGACTATTCCCAGGCAGGTACACAAGGCTAGCCCCTTTCCAGCTCCTGGTCCTCAATACCTTCATACCTTCAGCTTACCACACTCTGTTTTTTCCAGAATCTCTGAGAGATGACGGTTTTCCAGCCTCAAGGTTTCCAGTTGGACCAGAATTACCTGAGGAGACAAAGACAAACAACAAGCTCAGAAAAAGACCACAATGCATGCCCATGACACCCTCAGCTTTCGTACAGAGGCTAAAGAGAGAAGGAGACTACTAATGTAGCTAAAAACCAGGATGGTGTTCCAAGCTTCAGATCCCTTAAACAAATAGCATAAGAGTCTTGTGCCTTTTTTACCCTGTGCTCCACTGCTTTCCTCTCTGCTCTTTCAATCTCTGCTCTGAGCTGCTGCTCCAGGTTTGAGGTGGAGCCGCTCGCCGATGCAATGGTGATGTCCCGCTGCTGCAGCTCCCGCGTCAGCCTGGAGATCTCCCTTTTCATCCCCTCTACCTCACTGCTGTGCATTTGTTCAGCCTGAGAGAGCTGGTCTTTCAGCTGGAGGAAGACATACACACATCATCCACGAGCTTTTAAAACATGTTTCAGCTAAAAAAGCAAAAGTATTGCACATGGGAATGCGAAATCTCAGTCCTGGAAAACAAAAAGCTCTATGTAACAAAACCTCTGCACATGCTTGTCCTTCCTGATTGAAAGCCACCTCATCCCAATCCCTTCCCACACCAACACCCTGCCAACTGGAAAGAAGTTTCATGCCATGAGAAAACCCACAATTTATCAAACCAACAGTCTCTTCAGCTCATCATTCAACCTCTATAGCCAAAGCCAGAGAGCCAAAGGTTCATCATGACTGGGGAAGCACAGTAACTCTTGGAAAATATAACCCTGCAATTTGCCATTCTGCCTTCCTGAGGTATTTGAAGATCCCATTTAAAGATGGTAGCTTTAAATAGCTCGAGCTTGATGTTTCTTTCAGGAATTAATTTGCCCTAAGTCTTTTGAATCTATAATAGGGTTGAATCAATGTTAGCTCATAGCAACTAAAGCTTCCCATGGCAAACTTCCACCAGCCAACTATGCACAGGGTAAAAATACATCTCTTTGTTTTCATAACTCTGTGTAATGACCACTAGGCCCTGCATTATGAGAGAATAATCATTCCCTATTTACTTTTCACATGACAGGCATGATTTTATTTTCAGTCCATTCAATCTCATTTATCTCTTTTCCAGTTTGCTAAATCCTATTCCATTCAGCTGTTGCTTATATAAAAACCATTCCATCCTTTTGGTCATCTTTTTCCATACCTTATCTTGGTTTATTCAATGCTTTTTGAGGTGGGAGACCTGCACCACATACCATATACTGGTAGGCACACTGCATATTTACTCAGTGGCACAACAGACCAACAGCAGCATAATTCCTTCCCCAGGACTCCATTCCATTAGTCAGAAATATTAACCACCCAAACACACAGGATTTTTCTGAGAATTACAAGCATTTTAGAAAATTGAATCAGATGATCTCTGCCTACCCATGTAAATACTGTTCACATGGTGATTTATCTCCATGTCACCTCAATGCCTCCCAAGTATATAAAACAGAAACAGCCTTCATAAATCTCTCCCTCCTCCCCAGCAGCCTGTGGGAGATTCATTTACTGTGTGGCTGTTTGGATGTGTAACCAAGCACACATCTCTGGCAAGATCTGCACCTCTGTATGTTCAGAATAAAGGATGAAAGATTTCCACACAAGTGAGGTTTTTCACTCAGGTTCAATGAGGCTTCCACTCTACCAGGTTCCAGTGAAAGCTCTCACACAAGCTGATGCAGACCATTATGAAGAGCCAAGCTAGTGGAGGGCTTGCCCCCTTTGGGTGCTCAGAGCTCTGGGGTGAGCCCCTCGTGGCAGGTGAGCTGCTCCATTCCTCCCAGCCCCTGCCCTCATGTCCATCTATCCAGCCTGAAACACACTCCCTTATTCACACAGGACTAGGACAAATTTGAAGTCCTGCCTCTAGTGTAGAGAAGTTCTGGGGGAGGCCCAGGAGATGCTAACAAAGTCAGGTTCAGACACCTGCAAACAGGTGTCCTCTCAACCCTTCCTGTGCCAGTTGTGCTCCTTACCTCCAGCAGATCCCTGCCTGCACAGCAGCCCTGCCCTGGTGCCACTGCTGAGGCACTGGCACACAGGGATCAGCTCACTCACTCCACCAGTGCCATCCCACTCCCCAGGAACAAAGCCACATTACCTTTTTAATCTCTGCCCTTGACTCAGTCTGGTCTTCTTCCAGGGACTGCAGCTCTTTGAGATTCTCACCCAGCTCCTCGCTCAGCTGCACACACCTGGCATTTGAAGACACTAGGCTGGGTGCCAAATGCAAAAGTAGAGATTAGAATAACCCAAGGAGGAGGAAATGGTCAGAGAAACTTTGATCTTCCAGACAGTCCTTTATGTCCATTACAACAGAAACTGAACTCAGCCTACAATTCCTTACCAGCCCTCTGGGTTTGTTTTCCAAAATCATTTCACAAGAGATCAGGAAGCTCATCTAACAGATAACAACTGTTTCTTGACGGTTTATTTACAAACTAAGATAACAAAACTTCTATGTAAACACAAGGCTGAAAACCACAAACTTGGAGAGGAATCATAGAGTCACAAAATGCTTTGGGTTGGGAGGGACCCTAAAGCTCAACTCGTTCCACCCCCTGCCATGGGCAGGGATACCTTGAACTGGACCAGGATGCCTCAACCCCCATCCAGCCTGGTCTTGAACACCTCTAGAGATGGGGAGTCCCCAGTCTCTCTGGACAGATTTGTTTATAATCCTCACTTCATAGGAAGGTCTGGATCTGGTTCTAACCAGCTGCCTAACAAAGACTCCTTAGCCTATTATGAGTGAAGGTGCTCAGCCTAAGCAAGCTGGAACACTGAGAACACCCACCATGAGCAGAGAAAGGCAGCCAACCAATTAGCAAAGCAGTCACTATTACACTGCAAAATGAATAGCACTTGATTTCTTTGGCCCTTTGATATTTAAAGCAAGCCTACAAAAATCACTGGTTAACTTGATGAACATAATTAGGTGCAGTATTATCATCCAAGACTACTTGCACTTGCAGAGGGAGCAAAAAGAGGGTTACCTGTTCTCAAGACGAGTCACCTCTGACTGCAAGTGCTGTTCCTTCTTCTGGGCAACATCCAGCTGCAGCAGCACCTGCTCCAGCTCCAGCCCTGCAGAGGACAAGGGCTTCCCTTGCAAGCGCTCCTCCAAGGCCCTGCACAGGAACAGCAGCTTCAATCTCAGCACAGAAACAAACATGTCTGAGTTCACTCGTACAGGGAACATAACTACTGTTTTCCTGGAGTTCTCTGAAAAATACACAGCAGGTGACCACAATGTGCAGTGTGAGTAAACAAAGCAAACACAGCAGCTGGATGACAGCCCCTGCCTGAGTTAAGGCTGACTGAAAAAGACTACATTTTATTTTGATGTTGGCCTTCCCGCCACAGACTGGTAGGTGACCAACACCCAAATCTTCTGACACAGCCACCAGAACGCAACAGCCTCTGCACATTGCCCGGGCAGAAGGGAAAGGCCAAGATGATTTTGTCACAGACGTAGCTACCTCACCAAGCCCCAGTCAGTGAGAACTTTCACCTAGGTTAATAAGCATGTTATCAAACCCTGAAAGGCCTCTGGCGCTTGGCTGAAAATACCTGGGAGAAACACTCTCAAAAGCCCTGCACTGCCTCCAGAAACCCAGCTGAGGAAAGTGGATTCCTTCCATGCTCTTCATTGACTATCTGCTAATTCCAAAAGCAATGCAAATTGAAAAATGCAGCACAGTGCTTGTGAGAAACTGCAGTGCACTATGTTAAATACAACCAATACAGATCCAGCTGCATGAAAATGCTGCTACTGTCCTCAGTGAGAGAACCTGGAACGTGGACAGGGATTGAAGAGCCAAAGTACCAGCAAGGCACAGATGCTACCTGATCAGGAGTTCTTTTGTGTGAAGAGTTTCAGTCATCCTGTCCAGCTCTTTCCGTAACTGTTCCTGGTGCAGCTTTGAGCTGTCAATGAAATCTTCTTGAGACTGCAAAGTGGCTCTCAGTTCCATCTTCTCATCCTCCAGCACCTGCACAGGAGGCAGAAGGAATGACCACTGCAAGAGGGACCAAACAAGTTTGTTGCAATGCGATGAGAGGTTGATCAGATTTTTTAGGACCCTTGGAAATACTGCAGAGCAGCACATGGCTACAAAGTCAATTTTGATACCAATCAGGAACTTTACAAAGGCTCTAGAAAGAGACAAAAACTCCAGGATGAAAAGCCTTCCCACCACTTCAGACCCCATTTCTTAAGAGTTCCTCTACTGACCTCTAACATTTTCTTGGACTGCCTTAATTCCTCTTGAACTCTCTGCTGATCTTCCAGAATCATGCGATTGTCCTCACTGAGCTCATCCACCCTCATGCTGAGCCTCTCCACCTCCAGCTCGTTGGCACAGATGGTGTCCTTGGCCCTCTCCAGCCTGCTGCTCAAGTGCTGGATTTCCGAGCGGCTTGCCAGCTCCACCGAGTCCAGGACCTGCTTCCGATTGGCCAGCTGGGTCTGCAACAGCAATCACCTGCGTTAGAGCTCAACTGCAAAAACACCAAAGTTCTACCAAGAACTGCTACTTGCTGCTGGTACCAAAGCTAAATTCAACACAGCTTCTGATTTCTTGGTGTAATGAGCCACATTCTCATTCTCAACAATACCTTCCAGGGAATTAGGGAGAGTATTCTTCCAGGGTTACGTGATGGATAAAACTTCCCAAGGCAAACAGAAAAAACAAAATGAAAAAGGAGAGGGCCCTTTGATTCTAAAAGCAGTTCAAAGAGAATCTGGAAAATGAGAATCTCAAATCACTCCAGCTGCCTGAGTATGATTTGTCTAAGAAAAAACCCTCCTGCTACTTTTTGCTCATGAGCCCAAGGCTAGACCAGGACTAAGGGCTGCAGGTAAGAAAGTTTCTAAACCAAACAGGGCAAAGATTACCCAACCATTAATTCTACACCAGGACAGAAAGCAGCTCTGGGTGCACAATTGCAAAACCACAACCACCAAACAGCCCCAAAACAAACCAGTTGTAGCAGCCAATTTGCTTTGCTCTCTGCAGTAAATACCTGGTTCCAGCAGCTTGGGGGAAATGCTCACTTTGAATTTTTCAGTGTTTTAATGGCAGACAAAAAAGTTACAAGGAACGTATGAGTAGCAGACAATACCTGTTCTATAATTTATAGGCACTATACTTGATTTCATAGCATTTCTTTCCACACAGCTAGCTGGTGAAATTTAACAAGCCAGCTCTCACATAAACTTCTAGGAACATTCACTTCATATAGTCCCTTATTGTATAAAATCTTTGAATTTTTAAAGGCTGAAACAAAATATTTGAGCAGTCCTATACTCCCAGTTTCAAAGAGTAGCAATGCCTGCCAGCTTCAGAATCGTCACTTGCCTTGGTTTACACAAACTTTAAGAACTGCTCATTTGCAAGGATATGGTATAGTTTTGATTACAGCCTTTTATTATTATTTAAATAGGCATGACAGAAAAGGTAATCAAGAGGGCTGAGAGTTTAAAGCAGAGCCTTTCTTCACTCAAGAGGCCAGAGTATTAGACTGCCTGAACATTTATTTCTGCATTAAGAAAACATCTATGCTGTCTCTCATTTCCAGCCACACAACATCCAGGCCAGCAGAGAATTCCAGGTTTTTAGGAAAGGCTGACTTTAAAGGCTGCAGGTGTTCCAGAAGGTGGTCTGTACTGGGGAAAAAATCCAGGCTTCCCTAAGCTGCTCTGGAAGAGCTGAGAGGAAGCCAGATGAAAGGAGAGGGGAAGTACTCCATGGTCATGGATCTCAGCTTGACCTTATGCTAGAAAGACAACTAAGCATGTAAAATGTACAGAAACATCCAAGGCAAAAAATTTAGCACTGCCATGCTGGGCTTTTCAAAGCAATTGATGATTCAGGCAGTCTGTTCACAGTACCTGTGCACCTAAGGCACCTATGCCGCTTTGGGAAAACCTCCCCAGCCTCCTGGTTTTCTGCTGCACAGCAAGACAAGTTCCTCTGTGCCCCAGTGTCCCAGCCTGAGCTCCAAGGACACATCTGTTCCCAAACAATTGAGCTATCAATGACACACAGACAGCAGAGCAGCAAGACCTTCTGCTCAAGGACTCTCTCTGCATTTGTAGATCTCCTGGTGTCAGCCTCTCACAAAGCCTCTGTCAGAGCCAGCTTCAATCCTGTCATCACAGTCTCCCTCCTCGCAGGAGCTTCCACTCAAGAGCAACTCAGGAGCCCATTAAGGCAAAGTCCCCAGCAAGAGCTTCTTATCAGTGTCTGCTGTGATTGTGTCTGTGTGACTTCACAGCTGTGCTCTAGGTCAATTCATCTTGCTCTGCTGCAGCACCACTAATTCACTGAGCCATCAGCTTTGCAGAACAGCAGCCCCACTACTTCTTGCCTTTGAGAGACCTAAAAAAAGGGGTGGGGGGCTGCTGTTGCTTCAGTATTTTATATTTTTTGGAAGTCTCGGCTGTAGGGGAAGACTGTTTTCCAACAGTACTCTGTGAGCTGGACCCACAAGGAACGTATTTACCTGCTGGCAGGTACACAGCTTTCAACTAGACAACATGATGTAACATATTTTAAAGTGTCATATGCTGTGGTCTCTGCCTCCCAGGGAAATCTGCATCTTACTCTCTTCTCTGCTAACCAGAGTGATGGCAGGGAGAGCTGCACAAGGTTTATCTAATCTCTGATGACAGACTCCAGATCTTTTTTCCATACAGCACTCGTACAAGCAAAGCTTATTCTGCCAGAACATTAAAAGTCACTTCAATGGCAATCTGAACTGGATGGGAGCCTGAGAGATTTCATTAGCCTCTCCCTCCCTGCCACAAACAGCAGAAACTTCCAGCATATGTTAATTGTACCTGCACGAGCTCGGAGTGCTCTGCCAGAGCCTTGCGCTGCGCCTCCAGCGATGCCACCTGCTGCTGGAACCGCAGGCGCTGCTTCTCCCAGTCAAGTGATTTCTGACGGAACTCCTGCAGGGACAGCAGGGGTGGCTTGGAGCAGTACATTCCCCTCCAGTTCACATCCATGTTTGCCTTCTCTTCCCACCGTATCCTCACACCTTTCCCGCAGCAGGGAAACCATTAGCCAGTCATCTGATGCAGCAGCTCAGCAGTGCAGAGCCCTCACACACCGTGCTCGCTGCATTCCTTTCCACCCGAGGTAAAGCTGCTCACAAATGTTAAGTGCCAACACATTCATGGCTGGTTTCATGGGTTTGCTGTCAGGGGTTTAACAATTCAGACTGGCTTTAGCTTCCAAAACATGCTGCTGTTGAAATCACCGAGATGACAAGAATTAAATACAGAATTTGACTGCTAATCTCTGCTCCAGAAATTGGGCACACATCAATCAGATGTGTGTTGTTACTACATCTCTCAGGAGGAGAAAACTGAGTGGGGTTGAGCTCAGCAGAGCAGAAAGATTAGAAGATGAGACAGGGTTGAGAAGAAGTTTGACATGTAACTCCCTCCTCCTCAAAGAAGTGAGAATACAACCTCCCCACACTGGAATTAATTCCATTCACATAATTAGTTACTCTTCCAGCACCTCCTTCCTTTTATTTCATCTAAGGGTAAGAACAGCATTAAGGTTTAAGCTGTGCAGAGGCCCTAAAACATGAAACTGCCTTTATCACACATGCAGTTGAGAAGAGCTGCACCTGGAGAGCGGATGACAGTGCTCCTTAAGCAGGACTCACTAGGAAGTGGACTGTTCAGTCACCAGTGAAGCCCAGTAAGGCAGTTAATACATACAAGCTGGTCAGCACTTCCTTTTTCACCACATACCTCCAGCTTCCTGGTCAGTCGGCTCAATTCAAACTTGTCCTCCTCTTGTCCCTTGTTAGCTTCTCCTCTGCTTCTTGTTTTTTTCTTCTGTAGCTTCTCATAGCTCCTCCTCAGCCGGGACAACTGCAGAATACAGTGAAAGAGAGAGCTTTGTTCAAGGCCCCAAGGCAAGAATTAAACAGCCCTTTGAAAGAAGACACACAAAGTGGTTCACACAAACAATGCCCTCATCAAGGCCACACAGCTCCCAAGTGAAGGCCTCTATTTGGATAACGAGTCTTTTATACCAACAGCACTGCAAAACACACGACTTGTATGAGAGTAGCAAGATGCCACTGAAGTCATGACATCAGCAGCTTTAACTAAAGCTCTCTCTTACTATAATTAAAGCATGACTGAAATATTGATCAGATGGAGGTTTACAGGCAGCTGTCAATGCAACAAGAGCACAGCATCCCCCTCTCTACAGGTGGTTCCCAGCCCCAGGAAGAGCCAGCAGCACCTGTGGCTGATCTGCTCACCCACAGGAGCACACCCACCACACCACACATGGGTAAATCTTGTGTGATCAAAATACACTTGTGCAGCTCAGGTGGGAACTGGAACTCTCCTGCTTAGTGGGAGAAGGAAGGTTTGAGAATTGCCATTACCCATAATACCAACACCACTTCATCTGTCATTTTCTGCTTAGATACACTGAGTATTTCACAATGAGTGGAGAATGCCAACAGAAAATATCACTCCTACGCCTGCTGCTAGGATGCTGAAGTTGTATGAGAAACAGGAATGAGGAAAAAACTCTTGACATTTAAATGACCCTTTGTGCAAATAATCACTTGCAGCTTGCAGAGAATTTTTCATACAATGAGCTCCCCCCTACTTAACTATTAAATAAAAGGCTCCCAAATAGCCACATCAATTTGAGAAGCCATCACTGCTGTTTTACTGATGGACAAAGCTGAGCCCAGGAACGAACAGAAGGACCACGAGAAGAAAAGATACGTGATTCAAGACCTGATGCATTCAGTACTTCGGTGTGTTCAGTGGGAACAGACAGATGTTCAGGCTTAGAGTTAATACCAACTTCTTTTGCCAAACATATCAGGAGATAAGAGGTTTATTCTTTCAACAGTCTCAGTAAGTTAGACACTGTACATGTAATTGCACTGGAAATGGTGGTAAACAGAGACAGAAATAATTTCCCCAAACAGTACTAAGAACAGAAGACTGAGGAATATTGGAGCTCAATGTCATCAGCATTAATACTGTGTAGGTAAAATACCCACAAACTGCAATTTAGGCCACAACACACAGGCTGTATTTCAGCCATAGCAATTTAGGCTGATCTGCCAATGTACCTCAGCTTTGCTCTGCAGCTTATCCACAATTCCAGTGAGAACACCCAGCCAATGAAGACTGTTAGTCATATGGAATAGCGAGGTGTTTTTAAATGAGAAAAGATGCCTTCTGTCATCAAAGCACAGACTACCAAATTAATTTCACTTATGGCTTACAGTAAGCAGGAACTAGGCCCAGCCCTCCAGAGAAAACAGGTCAGTGCTCTGTGAGCTGCTCATGCCAGTTCACTCCCTGCTACTGGCAAGTGCAGACAGGCATATATCTGGAATGCTGCTATACCACCTGCAGGACAGGTATCATCTTGCACTGAGCAAGAGACTTTGAGACGGAAGCTCTGATATTACTGTCAAACAACATTTTATACATACACTTGGCTTTTATAAAGGGTATTAAGACTAATATTCCTTGAGAGTACAAAATCCCTACTAAAGTCATCAGCGTTAACAAAGGCAAAAAGATAACACCACACACCACTGTTATTTCCTGATCTCACACTAGCCAGGCCAGCTACATCTCCACCCTTTTTAAATTTCAGAAATGATGAAAGAGCAAACTGCTGCTGTCTGTACCTGTGGCAGCTCCAGAACCAGCACTGTGGTGACTGGGACGGGCAAACACAGGACGTTCTTGCAGTGAACTTCTGCAGGTGTCCAACATATGAAAACATTTCTATTCCAACAGTTCTCTGTCTGTCACCAAGCTCCTCCAAATCACAAAAAACAGGCCAATTGAGCCATACAAATGTCACTTTATCTATGCTCAATGCTCTTTTTGGTAAGCACACAAACAGTAACAGTGGGGAATTTTAAAACCACAGCATTGAAACAAAAACAATGACACAAAGTAATTGATCCATCATCAGCAGGGAACTAGAAACCAAACTTCTCTTTTTGCAACTCACCTCCTCCTGGAATTTCTTCAGCTGCTGTTCATACTCTCTGACCATGTCCTGCTTGGATTTTTCCACATCTTCGACCTGGCGACGCAGCAGGCCAACCTGAACAAAGGGATAAAAAGCAAATAAATACAACAGAAGTAGGCTTTATTGCCAGTAGATACATAGATATTTCAGTGGGGCCCCTCAATATGAAATAGATGGAGGCTGTGCCTAAAGATGGCAGGCTGGGGCCACAACTGTTTCTGTTGTGGCCTCTTGTTTTGAGCCAGTTTCTGGATTTCACTCCTGGGGACAAAGTTGACATATTTGGTTTGTGCCAAAAGCCTGCTTCTAGCCAGAATTTTCATAAATTCATCACAAAACTGATTATGATGTCAAGCTATCTACCAAGAGAAAAGTTGGCCATATCATCTTACTATGCTCAGAGAAAGGAGAGAATCCTAATAGCAAGGAAAAAGTAAGAAAAGGGGTTTTGAAGCTCACAGAAAAGACTTCCCTGACACTGATTCAGCTGCTCCTGTGACTCACTTTTCTCCCTTTTTTTTTTCCTCCCATCTTTTTTCCAGCCACAATCTGAGTGGTCACAAGCCAACAAATTAAAAGAAAACCCACAGACAATTCATATGACTAAACCAAGAGCATGAATATACTCCAGCAGTGACTTCAAACATACTTTACAGTTCAGTTTGAAATCCGTGTTGGCTTTTGGTGGTAAGAGACATTTCAAGTGTCTTGAGAAAACATAATTGATAATAACAACAATAAAATATATGATAAAAATCACCATTCTTGCAAATGAAAATTCTGTGGTTCAACTGCACCTTATAGTCCACATCCTGCACAAAAACTTCACTAACTAATAATTTTCCACCAATACAGATATTTTTTTTTTGCACTTCCCTCAGGCTTTCATTTAAAGATCACAAAACCAGAGCTCTGTAAAAACCCCATGGAGAGTTTCCCAGCAATATCTTGGTGTAGCTCATAGTAGGAAATGGTTTTCTTGGTGTAGTCTGTGTAGTAGGAAATGGGTTTTTTCTACCAATGACTGCATGTTGCTGGGCTGTCCATTACTGATGTAGCCAGCACCAGTGCCTCTGGGTTCTCTCTAATAACTCTAACAGTTCAATATGTGAGCTTCCACCAACCCTAGGGGAGCGGATCACTTGACTTGGATTGAGTTATGAACCAGACACCTTGCTCCAACAGGTCCTTTAAAAATTCTGTTCCTGATTTCCGGATTCTAACAGGTAAAACACACTGCTGATTCCAACCAAAAAAAGAGTATGAAACCAAGGTACCTCCTTTTGTTTTTCCTGCAGAGCGGCCTTGGCAGAGGAAAGTTCCTGCTCCCGAGCACTCAGACAAGCTTCCAAAGCCTGTGTCTGCTCTTCCCATTCGGATTTCTTGTGAGCCACCATGATGTCTATCTGCTTCATCAGCTCCTGCAGCTCAGCCTCACAGGAGGTCAAGAATCCACCACTGGAGGGAAGAGAGCCTGGAGTTACAAAGCAGGTTCCACCCAACACGTCCAGTGTCCCAAATCAACAAAGGCAGCAGAACTGTCTGGCACCCAGGCACCAACTCTGCACACGCAGTGCTCACAGACAAAACTCTTCAAATCAGCTCACAAGAACAGAATCACAGAATCATTAAGGTCAAGAAAGACCTCCAAGATCGTCAAGTCCAACCTTTTACCCAACACCATCCATGCCCACCAAACCACAGCACTTCACACTTAGGCATTCAGCCTTTTGCCTTGGGTACTAGGCATTACGTAAGTAAAGCAAAGCCTGTTTAATTCATATTTTGTATTGCCTTAACTGCTCTCCAGGCAGTGGCATTTTATAGCATGTTTCAGTCACCAGAGGAATCTTACAGCCAAGCTATGAGCTCCCAAAAACAGAAGTTGATCACAAATGCAGACAAACTCTGAAGCAGAGGGGGCTGGATGACAACATGATAATGAAGAATCAAACCCTCGCAATCCATCGGGGAGCACGAGCTCCCTAGCGATGCCCAGATTTCTAATTTGGTGCAGTAATTATTGAAGCCAATTCAAGTAACTCCTCTAAAACTTCCCAGCTGCCAAGACAGGGACAATATTAAGGTTTGCCAGACACAGCCCTAGAGGGTGGTGAACTCCATAATGATCTCTACCCCTTTAATTTGCCTGTCAAAGGGAAGAACTGAAAAGAAATGGAAATCAATAGGTTAAGGGATGGAAATTTCTCTGTTCCCTCAGGGCATATGCACACTTCATTACTTGGCACTTTTTCTATAGGAAAAGAAATACTTCTTAAAAGAGCCAAAATCAGTCACATTTGAAGTTCACCCTGTCCTGTGAGTTAACCAAAAATTAGCAGCTATTATGCAGAGCAGGAACATTTCTTTCACAGCATCTGCTAATATGTAGCAAATTCTAAACTTGATTTCTGCACCAATTCTCTAAAGAAGATACAGTATCAAATAAATTTGTGTCACATTCTCAAGGATGACTAGGAAAATGGCATCGGTGACTTTTGCTTCACGGTTGTTTAACACATAAAGCATTTTGTTCTGTTATTGTCACTACAGTCTCTCTCGGGGATTGAAAAGTCTAGAGACTCTCACCTCAGACAGAGCATTAAGGATTCATTCAGAGCTGAGTGGGACTCTGCAGTTTCAACACAAGCAGGAAATAATCAGATGTTTTCAGTGAAATCAGATAACAAAGTCACATCTCATTAACCTTGCAAGGCTGTTACAAAATAAATATTTATTCACAACTCTATTTACTACTGCTCCTGATGTTGGACAGTAAGAATAGTTTACAACAACAATTGAGAAAAAAAGAAGCTGGGGTTTCAGGAAGATGTACAACTAAATTTCTGACAATTAAGGCTATAAGCAGGGATTAGTGCAGAGCCAACTCCCCCAGTGACTTCACTTCTGCAGCAGCTGAAGGCCACTGCACACTTACACCAGAGGATTTATTCTGAGTAAGAGGCAAGGTTAATACCTAAATCATTTGGAATGACTGCTGTGTACAGTTGCATACATACCTCCCCTGCCCATTTCTCTGCATTCCTTCCAGCAAAGCCTCCATCACTGAATCCTGGTGGCTTCAGTACCAGGGAAGTACAGGAAAGCAGTGGTCACTCATGGCAATGCACAAACCAGGTTGCTTCTCCATCCAACTGCAGGAAAGTGGAAGCCCACAAAGCAAAGTCAAAAAACATAAAAGGAGCATGCAATTACAGGTGAGGAAAACAATGGCACCTTCATGAACTTACAGCCAAGTAGAGGAAAAGAGATTTTTCTACCAGAAAAATATACCCAATGCTATCATCCAGCACTACCAAATTGCAGTGATATAATCATGTGATCTAAAAAATTCAGAGAGGAGCAATGAGAATCTGCACTTGTGTGAACTCAACACAGAGGGACTGGGAGATCTCCTGGGAGCACCAGCCTGTGGAGAAACAGGAATATTTGGGCTTCAAAGGGGCCAGCCCAAGATCCACCTCTGACAGGGAAGTTTATCACTTCAGACAGAAAACACCAGCAAGTAGCAGTAAGAATTCATCCATAAATTGCATATTTTTCAGGCCTCTGTTCCAGACTAGGTTAAAGAGACCATGCAGGTTACCACCACACTCAGAACACACTGGTTGTTCACACACTTGTGGGAATTTTAAGAAAACACAAACTCCTTAAAATTTCTTCTTAAATTATGCCTTAAATTATAAAAACAAGTTGAACAGCTTTACAGTAGCAGTACATTGCTTCAGTTATAAACTATACCTTTTAAGTAACAAACACATGCATACCCAAAGAAATTTCACATCTTGGTGAAAGCAAGAAGGGTTTACATTAAAGCCAAAAATGGGGAATAAAAAGCTCCCATGAAACCACAGCCAGGAAGACAGAATTTATTTCAATGTCTCCTTCATGAAACCGCAGCTAACACAAAAATGGTGAAACTTGTTCAGAGCTATTAACACAAATTTCTGTTTCCAAAATCTACACACTTTCCATGTACTGAAGATGGATCCTTGCACCATCTTTCCTCAAAGATTAAGATGGCATTATTAAGCAATCAGCAAGGGAGACTTTCACAAATGCAGGCTCAGCTTTGCTCTCTTTCCCAAACAATCTTCTATCGTGCTCCTACAGCACTTTAAAACACAATTCAGGGATTAAAACCTGTCCTTGGGAGCTTGTGTTTTAACCCACAAGCATATTAAAAAAGCACAGAAAAAAAAATCCTATCCTTATTCTGACAGTGTTTTGTCTGTCTTTGGTCCTGTTTGTGCTTAGCAAAACTCAATCAGTATGCAGAAGAACTTCGTGGTTCTGCTGAGGGCAGGGTGCTGAGGAGAGCAGATGAGCAGATCCCTTGAGCTGCTGACAGCATTCCAAGAGCTCTCCAGGTGGCAACAGCAGACATTAGACAGTAGCAGCTCTCCTCTTTCATTCTAATCACACCTATACAGAATCAATTTTCAGTGGGCAGAGAGATGAGGAGACAGACAGCATAGAATTCCAGAACAGTTTGGGCTGGAAGGGATCTTAAAGCCATCTCATGCCAAAGCCCTGCCATGGGCACCTTTCCCAGGTTGCTCCAAGCCCTGTCCAACCTGGCCTTGGACACGTCCGTGGAAGGGACAGCTCTGTGCCTCTGCCTTACCACCCTCACAGCCTGCCAGCTTTGCTTACTTGGACAGCATACCCAGATTTTGGGGAAAAGCCTTAAAATCAGACACCTCTAGCCAGTTTTATGCTACATAAGGTTTGCTGACTTAGTATTAGTTTTGGCCTCTCATGCTTGCAAGTTGCAATGTGCAAGTTACAGGCACCTGAGTAAAGACCCAAAAGAGGAAACAATCCGCTTCATTTACAACAGCTGAAGCAAGGAGAGCTGGCTGCTCACTTCTGAAAGCGAAGAAAATTGAAGTATTCGCAAAACAAAACAAAACAAAAAAAACCAAAAAAAGACAACACATTTAAAAATAAACAAGGCTTAGTATCCCACCTCAAGGCAGAATTGTAGCAGAGTCAAGTGGAGAGAACTTTACAATACACTGGAGGATTTAAGAATACTGCCCAAGAGGCAAGACTGGGATTACTTCGCATTTAAAAACACAGAAAGATGCAATCTTCAAGCGCTGCTGGAAGCATGGTTACAATGAACACAAAAGGAGCAGTAACCTCCCAAAGGCAATACCACAGGCGAGCTCCACTTGCCAGCGGCAGGAATGGCACCTGCGGCAGGAGCCCGGAGCGAACCACCCCTGGCCAAGGCGAGAATCCCAGAGTCACTGAGCTTGGGAAAGTCCTCTGAGACCATCAAGTCCAGTCGGTGACCGATCCCCACTTTGTCACCCAGCCCAGAGCACCGAGTGCCGCGTCCAGTCTTTCCTTAAACACCTCCAAGGGTGGGGACGCCACTACCGCCGCCGTGGGCAGTCCCTTCCCATATCTAATCAGCCCTTTTGTGAAGGAATTCCTCCTAATGTCCAACCCAAAGCTGCCCCGTGCAGCTTACGTCTGTGAAGTGGCCGGCGTGCCCGGGCAGCGCTCCCCGCTGCAGCCGCCGGAGCCGCCTCCGGCAGGCACTCCCCCCTCCCGCTGCTCCGGGCCGCAGCCGCCCGCCGCCCGGGCCCTTACAGCGCCTGCCCGCACCCGCCGCGGGACTTTCGCTGCCCGGGCCCTTCCAGCGCCGCGCCCCGGGAACCAGCCCTGAGCCCCCGGGCCGAGCTCCGCTCCGGGCTGCCCGACACCCCAGCTCTGGCCGGCCGCCCTGCTCCCTTGCTTGTTTCCTTCCTTCCTGCCTGCCCTTCCTCCCTCCTTCCCGCCTTTCCCACCCTGCCGGCGGGCACGGCCCGGCCCCGCGGCGCAGCGTTGCGCATGCGCTGTGGCGGCGCCTGCGCAGCAGCGGCCCCGGAGATGGGCAGGGTAGGGCGGGCTGGCGAGCGCGGGGGCACCGGGGGCACACCGCGGGACACGGGCGGTCACGGAGCCGCCGTGGCCGGGAGAGGCAGGGATCGCAGCGCGCCGCGGCTGGGATGCGCTCAGCCCCCTGCCCATCGCCGCCCATATCGCGGCTCCGGCAGCCGGCGACTGCCAGGCCTGGCTCGGTGTTGAATGAGTGTCAGTTATCTCACTCCGGCTGCCTGCTGCTGCTGCCCCGCAGGGGGACACCGGGGCGAGGGCCTGGGGTGGCCCTTCCAGGAGGGCAGAGTACAATTAAACACTGGAGTAATTATAGGAGCTGGGGGTGAAAGATAGGTCTCGTTTTGCTTCTGTTTCACCGGTTTCCTGGACTTCAGGTTCGGGCAGAATTCTGGCTACCTTAAAGTCCTTTGTTGTGACTCTCCCAGACACGCGAAGGAGGCAGTGAGGCACGGCACTGGTCAGGGGCTGTAAGCCAGCACGCAGCAAAGGGTTCTGGGCACTCTAGGTGTTCAAACTCACTCAAATTAGACTTCTGAAAGTCAGTAGGTAGATATAAACACATGTAAATATCATTAATAATAACCAGCTGGTTTTATATATTCATCTCTGATGCATATCAATCTGCAATTCATTTTTATAGAGTTCTTTTCACATTAAGTTCTTCTCTGTGGTTATAACCCCTTTTTGAGTGATTAGGGAAATCAAGGTATCCTTGTAAGTTTAAACTTCATATGGACTGCATCAAAACTGGAGCATAGTCCAGACTCCAGCTCCTTGGCTGGGGATGTTATTAAAACAGCATCTGCTTTGTGTCACAGATTTAGCTGCTCTCGCCCGCTGTGAGGATGGACAGCGAGGTGCAGAGGGATGGCAGGATCCTGGATCTGATCGATGATGCGTGGAGAGAAGATAAATTGCCCTATGAGGACGTGGCCATCCCTCTGGTAGGTGAATTGCTGCTTATCAATCTGAGTTAAGGCTGCTGTGTTGGTCACAGTCCCTTCCAAGAAAAGGCACAGAGTGTTGCTCGTGGTGCAGCTAATTTGTACAAGAGGCTCCTGGATCTGACTCCTTCCTTGCCCTATATGCCAGTCATTCCTGAGTGCATGAGGACATGGATGCTTCTGTCCCTCGTCCCCTGACCTGTTGCCGAATCCTCTCAGAACTGGAGTGCCCTTCCCACTGCACTGTCCTGGGTTTGGCACCAGGGAGAAGTAGAATCATCCTTTCTCTCTGCTTCCCTTTTTTGTTCTTGGTGTTTGAGGTACTTTCCTGGTTGGTTTGGAGAGCAGAGGATCAGTCTCACTGACAGTTCCAGTCTTGGTTACTCCTTATTTCCACTTCCTGCAACGCTATTGAAAGAAGCTGAGACGTTTTCATACATGTTTCAAAGCAGTCTTTTCCAGATACAGTGTTGCTGTTGGCAGTTCCAGGACAGCAGGGAAGGACTGGCAGGTGCAGCAGGACTCTTGCCTGCAGTGCTGTGTCCGAGGCATGGCACCTCTCCTTTCATCCAGCTGCAAGGCTGGAGAGGGGCAGCAGGGGAAAAGCTACTGCTGATCCCACAGAGTCCACAGCTGAAACTTCCCACAATGACACCTTTCCTTGGCTATTTTGAAACTTCCAGGGAAGTTGGAGGTAGCTGAGGATTTTCCCTTCTCTTTTTCTGTCTCATACACGAGCTTTATCCCAGCTAGCACAGATAAAGCAGCCATGGAGATTGTGGGGTGCTGGTTTCTTTCAGCAGAGAGACATTCCAAATTTGTGACATGGTTCAAGCTTTAGCCCTGCCACCACTGGCTTTTCAGAGAGAGCGAGGAGCAGCTGCCCAACTCAAAATCCGTATGTCCAGCGCATACTTTCCTGCCAAGAGCTGGGCTTGAGGGAAGCATCTTGCAGAAGTGTGAGTCTCAGCTAAAAGAGCCCAAACCCTCCTTTGCTTGGAATAACCTTTACTAGGCAAGCTGAGTACCATAACAGGTTCCTTGCTGACTATTGCCTTCACCCTGAGTCCAAACATTACTGTTTCTTCCCTTAGAGCCATCTCATGATGGCTTACAGTCACATACAGATGACAGCCTCAGAGAAGGAAGCCTCACCAACTACCAATAGAAAGAAAGGCCTGGCTGTGGGTATAAAGATCCCCATGGATGGGATTGGCTCTGATCACATAGAAAAACCAGCATGAATTCACAGGGGACTTACTCAGGGACATTGCAAAGAAGCAACCAGAATGGCTGGGAAAGTGGTGTTTGAGCCTGTCTTGAGAGTCTGCTCCAGTGCCCACTTGAGACATTTCTGGGAACTCAAATGGGTTCAGATCATTTGTTGTTTTCAAAGCTGAAACATTTTATTTAGCTCCTGCTGGGATTTCCAGAGGTCTAGAACTCAGAATTCCTGTCCAAATGGTATGTGGCAGAACAGCACACACTCAGTGTGACTACACCAATACAGCAAGACAGAGAACAAATAATGGAAGGAAAATCAAATCTCAGTTAAACTTTCCTTCCCCTTACTGTGCTGTGAGCAGCTTTGTGGCACACCTGGCAGGGGGTTCTGGCTTCTAATGTTGATCCAGCACAGCTACACCTGAGTCCAGCATACAGACAGGAAGGACTTCTCATCTGCCATAGGAAAGTAACATTTTACAGAACCAGTTGTCTGCAGTATTTGTATTCTTGGCAACAGCAGAAGCAGCACATTGCAAACAAACAGTGGAATAATTGCATTGTACTGTTATTTACTTACTTTGCATTTGCTGTATATTCTCCCTCACTGCATGTGCAATCTGAGTGTATAGCAAGGCCCTAGGGTCCTGGAAAACAATTTACCTTTCAGATTAAGCACCATATTAAAATGAAAAGAATACTGTTCATGACAGGGCTCAGCAATATTTTTAAGTGGATCAGTATGTATGATATTTATTGTTCAGATGCACCCTCTGGTCTCGTTTGTGGGGTTTTGTATCTATCCATACAAATATAACAACCTGCTGCTTGCAGAAAGTGTATTACATGTGGAATGCATTCTACCTGTGTTTTGTTCTCAGAATGAGCTCCCTGAACCAGAGCAAGACAACGGTGGCACCACTGAGTCTGTGAAAGAGCAAGAAATGAAGTGGACAGATTTGGCTCTCCAGTATCTCCATGAAAACGTTCCACCCACGGGAAATTAGTGAATCAGTGGGATTTCATACAGTGGATACATGAATGCAACATAAAAATATTTTTTGGCTGACCATTGCTGTCATAAGCTGCCCCAAGGAGGAAACAACATTCTGGAAACTTTCAGATTCCAACAGTGGTTCTGCTCACAATGAAGAGTTTTAAATGCTTCTTTCTTGAATGTGAAATAGCAGAGGCTCTAGCATCTCAGAGCCAAGTGCAAAATGTTTCATGCTTATAAGATTATTTCATGTTTTCTGTTAAATTGTTCTTAAGTTGGTGCCAATTCTGATCTTAAATGTTTTCTACACATGATTAAAAAGTTTTTACTGTCTCAAATTGCAATTGATTTCAAAGCTCACAGTGGGATTATTGTCTTAGAGTTCAGTGTGCAAAACTCAAATAGCTGTGAGTTGTTGCCATCTTTAACAAGTGTGTGGCTGAGGCAGGATGTGTGGGGCAGGTGTGAAAGGTCGGTCAGCAGAATCAAGAGCAGGGAGTAACCTGTAAGCACTTGAATTCCTGCTCTCAGGAGCTGATGGTGGTGGTGGACAGCATTTCCAGTGCTGACATCCTGGGAATGTTTGCCAATGTGTACAGTGAACAGACAGTCTAATTTATGCTGAAATGGTGGTTACTCAAAATCATGGTGTTCCAAGCGATGGTTGAGAGCTCCAAGGAAGAACGTGCCAGTCCCAGTGTAGGGCCTCTTGTCGTGCGAGTCACTCAGATGAGCAACCTCAGATGGGAAATTAAAATTTAAAAAAAGTGATGGGGAGAAGAAATTAGTAGGGCTTAGCTTTAGGCAACAAATTGTTACCTCTTCGTATAGAAATGAAAGGCAAGGCCCTCAAGGACCTTATTTTATTTCAGATGTCTTTTGCAACAGGTAAAAGCCTTCTGTTCTTTGTGTTTCACTGTTGGACCAATTCCGTCTCACCACTGGCAGAACTTCTTGCTAAGGGAAAATATTTTGACAGATTTTAGGATCACTGGTAGAGGTGAGAAAGGAGCTGGAAAACAATGTTTAAATTATATTCTTTTGTCAGTACAGCAGAAAAAGTACTGTCCTGGAGCTTCCAGATCCACAAATGTTATTTGGTGTCTTTTCTCAGTGTTGATTTTCTTCAAAATAACAAGCCCCAACTTTTTCCTGGGTGATTATCAAATGGGATCACAGCATGGTACATGTTCAGTGAGACTCAGATTGCTGAGCTGCTTGAGGCTGAAGAGCTCAAGGTGCTTGTGAAACAATCATGCTAGACACATGCTCTGCCTCAAGTGTGATCCATGCCTGCACCAGAGGAGCAGCACACACACTTGTCTGAAGGAAAAGGAGCTGCAAGCAGCAGGAAGAGTTAAGGATTAACCTGAGAATTAGCAAAGTCAAAAAGCTTAATAAGTACAGCATGGACCAAAGAACCAGCTATGCTGCTGGGAGCTGTAATAGTTCAGGTCCTCATTGGATCATCACCAAGGGAAAGAAAGCAGAGCCTGGGCTTAATCAGGTATTTCTAATCCACCCCATGTTCCCTTTCACTGGCCTATGTTAGAAGAATTTGCTAAGAAAATGCCAAGTAAAACTACCACCCTACTTCTATCCAGCAGCCATCCCTGCTCCCTCCCTTCTCATCCCTTTACAAACTCCCCAACACCCTCGTTTTCCCAATTTTACCATTATACCTTCCAGTTCCAATTTCAG